GGCATGTGCACAGACCGCAGGCCCGAAACCATGGGCAGCGGCTTCAGGGCCTCGTCCCAGAGCCGCTCCTCGTCCTTGTACAGCAGCAGCAGGTTGGACTTCTTCTCCCGCCGCTTGGATTTCATGTAACCCAGCATGATGCCAATCAAGAAGACGCCGTAGAACGACATGACCACCAGGATGTAGAAGTATTCGTTGCCATTGCCGCTGCCGCTGTTGGGCACACGGAAGTCTCTAGGGATGCTGGAGGTGGTGGCGCTGGCGTGGGTGCTGTTGGGGGGTTCCATTTTCAGCATTGAAGCAGTGCTCACACAGCCGGGGGTCTGGGGAGAGATCTATAGGTTAGAACGCCCCCCACAACTCTTCAAAATGGGCATTGCAACAAAGCCTCTGAAGGCACGCAGAACGGGGGCCATGAAACAGGGAACGCAGGCTACCTGCGAGGAGTCAGAGGGGGTAGGAGAGGAGACCGGAGGAGAGGGTGGCGGAAGAAAGGGGGTCTTTCAGATTGAAGAACTGATGCACATGTCTGTCGTGTGTGCAGGTCTTAACGTGTGTATGCAGGCATCACGTGGCTCGTTTCAAAAAAAGAGCAAAGGGAACGCATCTGATCTAAGACAACGGCCATTCATAACATTCGATCCCTGGGTACCTTGTTTTCTGTAACGGAGCAGGAAAAAAAAAGTAGCAACTTGCAGCTAAAACTCTAAATGGTTTTCAATTCAAAGCAAAGTTTGCTGGGAACAAAGGAAAGACACAGAAAGGAAGGCTGCGCCCAGCCCAATATCCCTGGAACATCTCCAAAGCAAAGCAGCTTTGCTCACTTACCAACCACGGAAGAAAGTGTCCCGCAGTCTGGAGACCTGGATCGCTGTGCGCAAGCGCGTCCTTCCACGGAGCCGGGCTCAGCACGCTGACAAATCTGCAGCTGCAGCCGGGATATATAGTCAAGAAAGGCACCGTCACGTGTTCTGGGAGGGAAATTCACCAGAGAGGTTGGGCCCCACAGAGCGCAGTGCTGTCCAAGTTGCAGAGAGAGCGCCACAGCCAGGGAGAGAAAGCCCCTGGGAACTGGGCCGGCTCCTAGCCCCCTGGCCCTGAGCCAAAGTCCTCCGGGAGTCCTAGATGCGCATGCAGAAGACGAGGTGGGAAAGACTGAGTCAAGTTGGAACCGTGACCTGCAAGTCTGCTCTCCTGCTTTCACCCACTCATGGGGCATGAACCCCCTGAATGCTGCCAACAAGCCAAAGGTGGCTACGAGTATCATCGGGAAGCTACCGCAAGATTTAGAGCCCAGCAACCAGGGTTTCTCCTCCTTGTGAGGGGGAAATCCGCGCCACAGAATACAGCAAGAACAGATGGCTTCAAGTTTCAGCTCGTCCACGCATGAGCGTGCCTGGGGGGGGCAATGGTCTGTGCTCAGTTCGCACACTGCCCCACCCAGCGGTGCCGTGGGAGAAAGGCCTGGAGGTCTGTTTCTCTAAAGATCACAGGCAAGAAAACCCTACAGAGCAGTTCTACTTCGTAACGCACGGGGTTGCCGTGAGTCAGAGCCAGTCAGCTGGCACAGGGTTGGGTTGGGGTGCTTTATTAACGATGCAAGTTTAATAAACTTAACTTTTGTGAACCTCGAGTTCCCAGTCGGTAAAACCCTTGGGGCTGGGGGACTTCAGTGGGTAGAATTTTATGAACCTTGCGACCCTGACATTTCCAGCTTTACCCGTCTAAGATGGAAGGCTAACTGCAGAGGTTTAGGAGTCCCCAATGGTGTTAAGGATTAAGTGCTCAAATATGAACCAGAAAGGTTGGGGGTTCAAATTCACTCTCAGATGCCTTGGAACCCCTATGGGATGCACTTATGCTCAGAAACACATGGAATCGGCATAAGTAGGTATCAACCTGAAGCCAACTGCTTTGCTTTTTGGGGTCTGTTGGTTTGGTTTGGTTTGGCTCTTTGTACAGAAGGAGATAAGAGTCCATGACACAAGGAATCCAGGGACAGGAATGGGAGTAGC